TCTCTCTTGAGTACTGTAATTTTTATAGAGGTTGTGAACCATTAGTGTTACGATGCAGAAAGATGCGTGAATGATGACTAGATAATTATTCCCCAAGATTAGGAACATTGTAGGGTCATCCTCCCTGTTATCACTTCACGTTTGCTTATTCAAGTGAATAAGAACACTAGTGAATTTGTAGATCAACAAGTATGCACAGTCTCTCTAATTTGCTTGTATTTAGAGTAACCTCAGATTCTTGAAGAATTCGTTATCTATAGGAGATTGATACAAAACTTGATAATAGGCCCATGGATATCAACGAGGCTGTCGATCTTTCCATCAAGTATTTCTAACAGTGAGCTTATTCCCTTTGGATATCTCACAAGTGCAGCAGAAATTCGGAGTAGTATATGTGAGACAGACATCACCTACTTTCTAGACTTCATCTCTCTACAGTCATCTAAAAATGGTCATACAAAAGGTGGATATTTTTCTCCACTGATGAATAGCTAACAAATATAGAAATCTACACAAGTGTCTACACCTACTGGTGTAGGTTAACATTACTTAACCTGCTGGCAGTGTTAACCAGTAGGTGTAGACACCTATCATGTAGACATTTATATTTGTATTAGCTAAATCTTATCTCAAATGTATTATTATTATTTTTTATTTCTTGAATAGATTAACAAATATAGTAAAGCTACAATTTCTGAGAGAACAGATTCTAAAAAAAAGCTGGTCTGCATTGCTTACAGATAATTTAGCATCTTGCAGATGGCCAAGCGTATGATTGGCTGATGAAATGAGAGAGAATATTTCTCATTCTTGATTCAAATTGTTGAGCTGTATGACTTCATCACAGATGTGGATACATTTCTGGGAAGTTCATCCTGCAACGACCATTGCTATGTATTAGTCAGAATGGTCATCAGCAAACCCAGTTAGTTACTTGTGCACTATTGCCATTTCTCGAATCTTTTACCAAAGGAACTCAAGCTTATGAAAACGTGCTTAGTGAAAATCTTTCCTGTGCCTGTTATGTATGAATGTTTTAGTTTATCTAGCCCATTGAATCACCTTGAGAATTGGAGGAGAGTTTCCACTTTTGCAGATTAATCTTTGATCTAAGTCGGCCACAGGCCTAACTCTGTGTTTGCCTTAAAATGGCAGTCATTCAAAATCATTCACTGTATAAAAATCTTTACATGTTCATGCAGTCTTTCACCAGTGACTTTCACTCAGCATTTTAACGGGATTCAGCAGCCTCTTAAATGTAGACAGTTTTCTATTGGCAGTGTGAGGCTTCAGCCAAGATAAAACAATGGAACCTTGCAGGAAAGTATGTGGTATCAGCATCTCCTAGGCTGTCTTGAGGTAGATGGAGATACTGTAGGGTGTAATGTTCATATCCAGCAGCTTGATTGAACTCCAAATGTTAAAACTTGTCCTAGTAATACTGGAAATGCCTTTCTAAGAGCCATTAGATCACAGATGCCAGATTTACACAAGTGCATAACAGCCCTCAGGAACTCCAAAACATCTGGCAAATAGGATCTAGAATGTAATTTTATCTGTTTCTGATGTATCCACTGAGACGTGGCTCCTCTGAGTTTGCTTGTGAGGTTTGCTGTGGGCCTGTAGCAACTATGGCAATACCTCTTAATGCCCAGCACTGTGCTTTGAGCGATGCTGTATGTCAGTGCACCCACTTCGCCTTGCTGCATTAATTGTTTCATGGCAATGCAGTGATGACAGGCAGCAGCTTCCGTGTTCCAAGTGATGAAATCCAAAATTGTTTTGTTTTTGCTGGTGAAATCACCGTGTTGCCATCAGGTTAAAAGGATCACAATGAATCTTACATAGCTTTATCCTTCTCTTCTTGTATCTGTACTTGAATCTGAACACTAAACTAGCTTTTGGATAGAGAAGTAAAATGATTTAAAAATTTACAATAGTAGTCTTCTATGAGTTTGTTTTTTTTAACAATTAGAGTAAGTACACCGGGTGTCTTCAAGCGTACAGTCAGGATCTGGTAAGGTGCAGGAGATGTGTCTTTCCTTACTGTTTTCTCATGTCTGATGCCTGTCTGAAACATTAGCCTTTTGTTTACCAGTTGACAAAATAAATAAAGAAAGAAATAAAATAAAAAAGCATCAGCCTTGCAAGGGAAAGAGTCCAGAGTTATAGCACAGATGGGTACACCAGCACCTGTGGTTATCCCTCACATCCATGTCACTTCACAGATTGTAGAGCCATTGTCCTCAAGCTTTTTACTATGGTACCCTGCTGACACAATACGATATTTTGATTGCTTATTAAAGCCTCCCGTGACTGTGATTGTAGCAGGAGTGCACATAAATTGCACAACACACCGTTAATGTCTAAAGAATAAATAAAATCTGTTTCAAAAGCTCTGTTTAAAACCTATTTAAAATCTCTGTTCATCATGTAATGATGTCTACCTAACAAAACAAAAGATCTGTAATCTCAAGTCATTTTGAAACATAGGATTTTAAGAGCTTTATCAACAAACACTGTTAATAGGACTTGGACAGCCGTATCTCCAGCTAATTAGATTGTACCGTGTTTGAATAGGTAGAAAATCATAGTTTGATTGTTAGTTTGAAAAGTACTGAGTATGCAATCACTTGGCTGAACAGAGCTTTTAAGAATATTCTGACCTTAAATAAGTTTTCTTTGTTTTCCATTATCATATTTAGGAATCACTGCAAATATTCACGAAACCATGCTAGATGCCACAATCATTAGCCTGAGATTCTCTAATTACTTTACAACAGAACTCTGTCAATCTTCACAGAAATGAAGACATCTGCCTACAGAATTTATTCAGAGATTTAACTTTGCACATAACAGACTAAAATAATTATAGAGCACATTTGAATGTATATTTCTATCATGGATTCTTAAGATGAATTAATTACCTCAGGACAAAAATCTATTTTAAGATTCATTTCAAAGCTCATTTTTTCCCTCATGCATTCCCATTACAGTCTGTGGCTACCATAATGAACATCAAGGACATCTATATTGAATTTCAACATCAGAATTTAAATAAGATGTAAGGACATTCTCTTTTCCATAGTAAAGTACTCCATATGAACAATTCTTCACAACCAGTCCCCACACCAGACACACCTGCAGGTGTTTGGGTGCTGCATCTGAGAATGCTAAACTACAAGTAGCAGGGAAAATATCTCATGCAGCATATAAGGTAATAACAAAATATTAGGAGATATGAAGATATGTTACTAAGCTTATCTGCTACTTTAATTTTGCCTTTGGCAACCAACTTGCATTTTGAAGTTAAAACAATAAGAAGAATTGAAAATTAAAAAGCCAGTGGACTGTTTTTGCTTTTTTTTTTTAATAAAACCAACAAAAAACAATCTATATTCTGCTTCTTTCTTACATTTTATTATTTGTAAAATATAAATTACTTGTTAATTCATTAATATGGCATTAGAAATAATCATGCCAACAGTAATACAAGACTTTGGGCAAATTATAGTGTTTTAAAAATAATTCTTTTCACTACCTTCACACTTCCTACTTGCAAAGTCCTGCAGTTTCCTACAGAAAAAGATTAGGGGGATTTATTCCAATAAACTATGATGGTCTGAATTATTCCTTTGCAGTACCAGAACAAGGATGAAAGGAAATTTCCAGAAGAATCATGTGGGACTATTCCACCTACATTATCTGTGTTTATGTGTGTTTACATGTTTGCTCCCTGTACTGTAACAGAATATAAGGAACATTCTCTGCTGCTTTGCTCCATCCACAGTGAACTGTCTCAGGCTAGAAAATTCTCTGCATCTCCACAGTGACTCTGGCCACCACGAACTGGGTTTTCTGCGAAGATAACGTGAATCCCAAACTACTATTTCTTCTATAACATGTCAGTGAGAAATGGATGGAAAATTATGTATAAGCTCTGATGTCGATGCATAGTCTAACTAGTATGTGAAGAATAAGGACTGCTTGAGAGAGACTGTGCACAGTGACAGGGCTGTGTCGGTACAAGATGACAGTCTCCAGTAAGCAGCTGTAGCAGTGGAAATCCACATCAGATAAAATGAAGAAAAATCTTCACCGTGAGAACGGTTGCAAGACAGGAGCCAGCAAAGGCTGTGGAATCTCTATCTTTCAGCATTCTCTATGCTCCTGTGGATGAAATTGGATGAAACTTTATCCACCCTCAAAGTTATCACTACTTTGAGCAGGATGTTGGTGGCTGGGGACCCTTCGACTTATTCTATCATTCTGTCATTGTATTCTCCTGCAGGAGATAATCGCTGACTAGGAAACTGACTTCATCTTCCTTCAAAAATGCTTCATCCATGCATAGACCCTAGAGACATTTAAGGCATTTTGCAATTTTTATCAATCTTTGGATATGAAAGTATTTCCAGTAGTGATCCAGATCTTAATAGCAGCTTTAGATCTCTTCAGAAGTTTCTTTTCTTCATTCAGTTTTCACAGATTCTTTATTAGTAGTCCACAGATGCCTACGTCTCCATATGTCACACTGAAAACTCATTTTGATGTTCTAATGAAAACAAGGTTGGATCAGACTCGACTTTGATTGTTTTGCAAAGCTATCTTTTCTAAAGCCAGAATTTTTCCCTTAGTAGACTGTGCTTTCTCTGCCTGTCCATGCAGAAATTCCCCTTCAGTATACAGGCTAAAAAACAAAGAACATTATAACCAGATTTCATGTAGTAGAATAGAGAGCATTTCTCAGTCTATTTCAATGTAGGAGAACGGAGAGATCTTTCTTCCCTTAAAATAGTGTGGAAAGGAAAATATGAGCTACTGGCAATTTAAGAAAAAATTAGAGGAATTTCTATCTGAGGATTTATCTTTTCTTGCAGAGGAACTGTTAGGCATCTATACAGTAACTGATATAGAAAAATGCATGCGTTTATGGACAGAGTGAATCTCAGAAATCACAAATCATTGTATTTCTTACGTAAAAGGACCATCTTAATTACCTGTTTCCATTTTCCCATCTTGTGCTGCAGGCCCATCAGGAATTACACTCTTCACCTGAAGAAACTCATCTGGCTCATCCCCACCAATGATGGTAAATCCAAAACCCATGTTGCTTTTCTTAAGAGTGGTGCTGAGGAAAGTCCCCTTCAGCTGTGATGCATCACGGGTGAAGAGTGGTTTTTCTACATCAGTCAACACAAACAAGAAAGACAAAAGTTCTGATCTAGTCAAAATATGGCAGAGACAGCATATAACAATACCAGCTGGCAGCATGTGACAGCGTATGAAAATAGAGGAAATAAAGAGTGCAGGCATTCCAGGAAAAAAAAATAAAATTGTGAGTTTTTATATTAAAACAAAGCTTAAAAAGTGTTTTAACCTATGGCAGATCAGCCATAAGTGGGGAGTTATACTCTTTCATATTAGAAATACATTTAGAAGTGGATACTGTGCAGCTAAAATAATTGCAACAATAAAAATGATACGTGAGGCAATTTTAAAACCTCTTCCCTAAACTATAAATCAAGAATGTCTACAAAGTTTTGCACAATTTCCCTCTCACTTGCAGTAAGAGAAATATCCCCGGTATTTCTCGTTCCACGTGTTAGAGACAGTGATAAACATCCGGTGATCTTTCCTCTCCAAGCACATGGGACTGGTGCCAGGTCTGACCGCTGTGATGGCGGTGCCACCTTCCTGTCCCCTTGCCGCGTGCCCGGTGTGCAGTGTGGGCAGCTGCAGCCTCCCGCTGCCTCGCTCCCATGCTTTGCTGTGTAGAGAAGGGTAGGAGGAATGTGCAAAGGTGGTGGTTTCCATTCATCTGGTTAAGTGGGCAGTGCAGTGGGGCTGGCAGGACATACCGTACGGCCAGCGTGTCCCAACGGGGTTGCGCCAGCACTGGGACAGATCACTCACACTGCGGGACCGCTGCGGAACGGGGCGCAGGCGGACGAGTTTGGGCCTAGGCAGGGTTGATGAGGAGCTGCCTACTATCACAAAGGAGAAGAAGCCTCATTCTCCATCTGGAACCTCATGTTGATGTTTATTTGTCTCTACCAGTCTACCATTTGTCTCTTTGCTGCTTACACAGCCTATTGTAAGCACATTAATTTTCACATTACGGCGAGGCTGTACTCCTGTAAGCTCCTACAGCACAGTGCTGAGGCTTTTAACTTAATTGATGCCTGCTAGATGAGCTAGCTAGGAAACATACCAAATATCAACTAAAGGTAATTTACAGAAAGTACAATTAATTATTTCAGTGTTGCCAACCTCAGGTGCTCAAGAGAGAGTCACGCATTCCCAAGAATAGAAGTTATTATTTTATTTAGAAAATTACTTTGGGGCTCTTATTGTGCACTTTGTTTTTCAGCCTTCAGGAAACACTAAGGTCAACTGTTCTCTTTTTCCTGCGACTCTGGAGGTTAGAGTTTCTTAGGTGTCTCACGAGTCCCGCAACTCCAGGAGCTGCAACTTTTAGGAGAGAAAAATGCTAGGAGGCAGGTGATAACATAGTGAGAATTGGCAACACTCTTATTTCCATCAGACTAGGACAAAATCATTGTCGCGTAGCAGGAGAGCAGGATCTTTCATCTTAACTAAGATAGGCTGACATGGTACTGTACCTCGGAAACCTTGGGCCTGCATAGGCTTTGTTCCAAGTTCTGCGTTGGGCATGTTATGCTGCTGTAGTTTCCTTTTTGCTTCTAGCACAGGGTTTTCAAATTGTGTTCTTCTATTTATGTGGCTGGAAAAAATTTGGTTTTGATTAAAACTTGGGTTCAGTTGGGGAAAATGATTATTTTCACAGTAGGATGTGACTTAGGTGTGTGTGGTTAGATAGCGAAACTGTTATGAAACCCCGATGGGCCTGAGCATGTCCCTTATACTCTGCATAATTTTGGTGGGGATGAGAAAAGCACAATCTATGCGCATAAAATAATGAACAGCATTGGAAAGTGCCTTATCATTTCAATATGCTGAACTCTGCTACAGGCAAATGGTTTTGATCTATGGGACTACATGGTAAATTGCAGTACTGCTGAAGCGTGCTACAACAGTTTCTCATGTCTTTAGTACAAACATTGTTCTGTGCATGATTCAAAGGGACTGAACAAATATTTTTTCATTATTATTGATTAGCTGCAAATAAAATTACTTACAGAAAAGGTAAAGCCTGGCACACAGAGGGTTTTAATGATCACTGCTTAAAAAAGAAATATATGTAGTATAGGAAAGTAACTGAGGATTATTTCTTTTTTAATTCTATGTTATGTACCTGCTAAGATGTACAGAAAAACAGGATGCTTCAGAAACTAAGTCAGATGGTAAATTAAAACTATATGCATAAATAATGAACTGTAGAATAAGTTACTGTTGTACACCTTTTTTTTCTTTTCCTTTTTTCATCTTAAAAAAAAAAAAAAAAAAAAAGCATTACATTTCCTGTAGCAAGTCAGGAAATACATCTGTTGTTATATCACTAATTTTCTTTATTTTGCTTGGAACTACTATCTTAACTACTTACTCTAATCTTATCCTTGATTTTAATACTTTAAGTGCATATTTTACCAATTAACAAATAGTTCTACAATTCTGCTACGTTTCTCACTTTTTCTGAAGAAGTCAAGGGGATTTAGGAGGAAGTATTGAACAATTCTAAAAGATAAGGCCACAATGGGATCACAATTAAAAAGAAGTCTTACTCTGCAGATAGTGTTCTGGGGAAGTAAATACACAGTGCAAAATAAGATCTCAAACACATCAGTCCTTATTTATTCTTACTAAGCTACTCTGTACTAATTTTTTTCTGCAAAGTCAATCCTGATCATCAGCTTTAAGCACTTGCAGAGGCAACCTGAGAACTTCTGAGATCTCAAAATGAGTTGAATTCCTTCTGTTTATTTTGAGATGACCTTTTATGCTCAAACATTAAGCATTACTCAGGTACCTCGGGATTCAGATCCTAACATTACTTCAAACAAAATGAGTGGAATTGATATAAAAAAGGAGTTGAAGGAAGTCGTTAAGTCCTAAGGGAGAGTATTATTCTTGGAAAACAAAGATTAATGCAATGAAAAGATACTTTGATTTAATGACAGGAAGAATATATTATAAATTCTGGAGTTGCTACTTTGTTAACATGGCTCTCTCTCATTCAAGGGGCAGCTAAATCACTTGTACTGTAAAATTTTGATTAATAGCTTTCTTATAAATATTAAACTATACTGCAAAATTAGAAGATTATTTTTGTTTCTTTCCTTCCATATACTGACTGATTAAGATTGCAGGCTTTGTTTTCCTAGGCTTTAGACCTTGCTGTAATTGTCAGGGTCAGTTCTCATCACCTTTGTCTATTGCAAACCTGGATATGTATGATGGACGGGAGAAAAACTTCATCAGTTAGAAAGGAAGGAAGACGAGACTCACATGCATTAAGTGATCATAGGATAATTCTGAAATACCAAAATGAGCATGAAAATGAAGGTTTTCATGCTACTATTTATCATGTAATTTATTCCAGTACTATGAAGGAAATACTACTTTTGCCATTGCAAAAGGAAGTTGGGAAACATCACGTGAAATACTGGATAAAGTTCTGATCTCCACAACAAAGGTTTTTACAGGAAGACCAGTGAAAGAGAGAGTATTCTATGACAGAACACCAAAGGAGTTCTGCTTTTTTATTCAAGTGGAATGAATGCTCATATATGGTTGCATTTTATGAATATATTTGGAAGTAAACAGTAGTATATATTAAAAATGTTAGGATTTCAGTCATGAAATCTTTAGGCTTCTTTCAAGCAGAAGTGTGAAACAGCTTCCAATAGCATTTATGGGATAAAAGTCTAGCTTGTTTTATGATGGCATTTGATAAGACTGAAAACAAGTTTTCTACACAGGATATTGAGCTGGTTGTCCAAACAAAGGGATCAAACACTATTTTAGTGTTTAGTCTAAAATATCCTATCTCAGCTGCCCTTCCAGAAGACCATGGGGTTCCTGTAACCTTTTGTCTCGTGATGCAGAGGTGATGGATATTCTAAATCACATTATATATACTTTTATGTAGGACCTTAGAATATAATCAGAGCTTAGCTGTAACAGCAGGTCACAGTCCAGTGCCCCTAGTCAAAACTTACACGTGGTCCTGTGATTAAAAAAGAGGGATTTTACCTAATACAGGATGTGTCAATGGCTCATGGAAAATCAGCTCCTGTGATACTGCCACAACAGCTAGAATTTCTTATCAGCTGCCTCTCAGCAGTTTCTGGTAGGAGCTGGAGTTGTGGTTTAGTATATTTAGACAGAAATGTTTTCTGTAATAGCTATCTTGAATATGACCTTTTTGTTCTAACATATCAGACAGGAAGACTAGCAGAGATACTTGAGGCACCTCAGGGTGTTGATGCAATCTCAGTAATTCTTAACTCCAAATTATTTCCCTATTTTGACTGTTTTATAGTAGAGTGCCATCTCAAAAACACACTGTGAAAATTCCATCAAATTCATACATCTGTGTTACATATTGGGCCCAATAAGAATAATAAAAAAAAAAAAAAATTACACAGAAAATCAGTCCTTTTTATCAGTTACACTGGATATATGCTCCTAGACTGATGAGACAAGAAGCACCTCCCTATCGTGCAATTTTAAGTGCTCTACATCTCCATGGCTAAATCAGAAAAATTGCTACTGATGAGTTTAGCTGAGAATGAAGTTATTAAGCTAAGTACTTTCCTTGAAAGGAAGGACATTCTAGCCTTTCATCTGGGTACTTCAACTGCATACAAAATAGGTATTACTGAACTAGGCCTTGATAAGACAATCTAAATGTGAGTTTTAGAGATGGTTACAAATAAGTGCTTTGGTGTTTAGTTGTATTGCTCATTGCCCTCAGCACCTAATTTGGTGAGCATTTCTCTCCTGATTTGAAAATTTCATTTCGGACTCTTCCTACCTAAAAATGCCATCTCTGCTATTCTCCTAACTGAGGTTCAGAAGGAAGACTGGGGACTGCCTACCTAGAGGAATGTAACTAATCCACATCTGTGGGATAAGACTTCTCATCAAATTGTGTAAACAGGTTTTTTTTTCTCCCTCTGCCCCCTCTCACAACTAATTTTTGGGTCCTGATTCAACTATATTTTATACTGCAAATATTAAATGTAAAAGCCTTATCTAAAGATAAAAATCCTATTCTGGAGATAAAATTGCAGATAAAAAAATTCCAGAGAAGAATCATGCTGCATTTTGCTCACTTTCTGGCTCCAGGAACCCCAGTCATCTCCCTGCACAAAAGAATGAGCAGTCAGCATTACTGTTAGCCCACAGTATGCAAGCTGTTGGGTTTGGTTTTGGGCTGCAAAGCTGAAATAGTGAATTTTGTGTCACGAGGAGTATGGTCAGCACCAGGTATCAGCAGAAGGATTTTTGTCTATTCTTCTCCTTAGCTACTTCAATGGATCGTTGTTTATGAGTAGTTTGTGGTTAAAACCCACCAAACAGTTCTGAAGATCAAGATGCCTACAAGACAGACATTCTGATGGATAATTTATTACTGAGTCTTCTTTACATTCACATTTTTCAGTCGCTACTATTTTATGACAACAAAAAAAACTCTGGAAAGGTTTTCTTCTTGAGTAATAACAGAACGTTGTCAGAAATTGTAAGTTAAGGTGATACAGTTTTCTAGAATAAATACCTGTATGACCAATTTAGCTGTTCTATTACAGAGGCCGTGTCAGGAAATTAAACTCTGTGTTGTGGTTAATCATCCTTAAAGGAGGAAATAATCTTTTGTCGACTGGAATGCTGAAAAGACCCAGTGCACTTTAACAACCATATTCTCTCCATAGCCTTGTGCAGATAAGTGCTGCTAGCTCTTAGTTTATAAATTAAGAGAGAATTGCATGAAAGTTAACCAAGGTATACCAAACACTTCTCATTCATGTGAGATGTCTACACCTTACAAATGAAGCTCAGATCTTCATAACAAGCCAAATTAAAATTTTAATAGTGTCCTGAACTTACATTCATTCATGATTTATGTGATGAAGTTATACCGGGGACCTGATTTTTCAACAGGATTTGCAAATACAGTATGATAAATCTTTGTTAACTTTGCCAGCATGTCCTTTTTATTTTGTTCTTGTTTGCTTGCTTGTTTTCCGCATTATCTCTTGGTCTTAGGTTCTGGAACTGAGCATAGCTGACTCACATAAAGTGAACCCGAATCTCTCTGCTCCACTGTCCTTCCTTACAGTCCTCCCGTGTGATACAGATAAGTCAGTGAGGGGAATATGAGCCCTTTCTTCACTGACAGTTTTAAAGGCCTGCATATAAACTTCAACTGGACTTGAATGTGAGAAAGTTCATGACACCGCTTTCCATGATTTACCCCACTATTATGACATAATTAAGACAGTTTAATGTTAACTGATTGTATCTAATTAAAAATGAACTAATCCATTGAATACTGGTAATAAAAAAGGTGTAACTTCTACTTTTTAGAATGAAAAATGGGAAGCAATTTTTGCTTCAAACGTATTGAGCACAGACAGCAAATTAAAGTACAACTGTGTTTTACTGACTATAAAACTCCTTATGAACTTAGCATGGCTGCAGGTTTAATGGAATCCTGTGAACATTTATTTCACTTCTTAAATCCTCTGAGCCTACAAGTAGATTTTATATATCTTTCCACAAATCTTATCTGCAGTAGAATGAAGAAACCTGGCAGTAACGGCCTTGAAATATGTAATTGCTTGATAACATCTGCGTTGAGAATCTTGTGTCTATTCACCTGTGGATGGACATGAAATGGGGAGGAATACTTGCTCCTTATGGAGGGGAAGTGTGAGTCTCACCACTGCCACAATGCCTTGGGCTGCACTAATAGCAAACGGGGGCTCAGTAAGTAATACACAGAAGTTGCACAACACCTTTTACTCACCAAAATACAGTAAAAACTGCCAAGGTGGAATACACCCAGCAGCTTATAACTGTATGTGCAGAAATCTTCAGGGAGGTTAAGTGCAAAGATATATAAACACCAACCACTAACTACTCTGAGGTTCATAAAGGATCTCAGGCACAATTTGGTGGCATTATTTAAGGACTTACCTTTAGGTAGAGGAGAATAATGACTAAGCTGGCTTGGGCAAGCAGCAAAGCAGATGGGGTTGCTGCTCTTGCACCAGGGATTCAGCTGGGGGCAAAAAGCAGCAGAGTGGATGCTACTGCATTTGGAGAATGGGACAGGGCTCAATGTGGCAGTGACCAGACACGGTTTCTGTTTGTTTGTTTGCAAAGCTGCTGTTATTGCGATGAAGAAAGGTGAATCTCAGACACATCTTCAAACCCTTCTGAAACCTGATCTTGTTGTGATCTCTCTATCCAGCTCTACCCTGTGCATGTTAACAGCCGCATATTCTATGGTCTGGAAAATCTCCAGTCCTAGCATACGTCCAGAGCGATCCTGTAATCAAAGCACTGGTATGGATTCAAGAGACAAAGGGAATGATGTGACATGCAAATAAACATTTTCTATTCTGTCTGAAAGGAATAATTTTACTGCTTTGTGCCAGGATCTGAAACTGAAAATTTAGGCAGGTCACTATCCTCTGTGAAGACTCTCTTCTTCAATTAAATAGAAGTAATGGATAGACCTTTCTCAGAACAAGTAGTCTGTAAAAATGCTGTGGTTTTCTCCATCCCCTGCAATATATGAGGGCTGCTCCAAAAGTAATGCCTCCTATTTTATTATTTTGGTGGATAGACGGATGTTGGTGGTATGTTAGTAAAGTTTGAACTTTCCTGCCAATGTTCTGTTACATTTTGTTGCTGCGAGACAGACAGCAGCGGAGGGGCAGTCTGACAGAACGCTGTTTGACATGGAAGTGCGAATGAAGCAAAGGTGTGCAGCTGAATTCCTCTATGTGGGAGAAATGTCACCCACTGACTTTCATTGGCATTTGCTGAACATTTATGGAGACCAGGCAGTGGATGTGAGCACAGTGAGGGATGAGTGGTGCATTTCAGCACTGGCAAAAGGGATGTGAAAGACACGCCACATTCCAGATGGCCATGCAGATTTGCATGACTGCGGCACGCTGGCTCTTGCTCATTGCTGGTGAAAATGTAGAGCAAATGGTAATGACTACATCAAAAAAGTGCATTCTGTAGCTGAGAATTTGCTCTATCAAATAGTGTTATTATGCTCTCTTATCTGTTTCCACAGAACTAAATAGGTGGCATTACTTTTGTAGTGATCTATGCACTTAGAGTAGATGCTAATAGGAGAGAAGAGAATAAAAATTGACCGCTCTGAGCACATATCACAAGTTGAATCTACATTAATCTCACATAAATCTGATTGACTCTGTTAGGCTAAATAGCATACAAAATCATCTCTCCAATTGACCTATCTTATGTAGTAACTACCTGGAACAGGCTTTCTCTATTACTTCAAGCAAAAGCTTTCTATTCCCCTTCACACACAGGAGTTCCATGTTCCACAACTAAACTAAAATATGAAAAATGAATGCAAGGACTGTGTTGTGAAATAAAACATAACAGACCTAGAATTTTATATGCAGAGTGTGAAGATCTTACTTGTGAAAAGGAAAGTGGTCTTAAATGAGCTAAACTGATTATGCTTTGCTTTATTCATTGACTAATAAGATCTGCACCTCACTGGATGTCCAAATCTACAGAAAAAGCACAACATTTATTTAATTAATACATTATTTTACAAATTCCAACTGAAATCAGACCCTCGAGAAACAGAATGACTGAGTCACTGATTTGAGACACACTGAACATATTTGGTCATATTAACTGTACTGATGACTGAGAATTCCTGGTATACCTTTAGTTTAACATTCAGTGTTTGTACCCATTTGTATCCAGATTTGGTAACTGCACTCATGTCTTGCCAGCTAAGCACTGCAGAGGATACTAGTATTATATTATGACATATTAACAGCAACTTAATATTGAACTTGGGAACTTACTCAACATAATAAGTGCCATAAATGGGATCATCAATTTTCTCCCAGCCATATGGAAGCTCTGAAAAACAAAGATTTATCTCTTTCAGTAAATGAAATACAGAATGCTTCGATTTCTGATAGTGAAATTGCAGATCTTTGCTGGATGTTGAGGGAAATAACTGGATAGTGAGGTCAGATAAAGTCACCAAAGCAAATGCCAAACATTGAACACCCACCAGGGTGACCACAAGTAGCAGTAACTAAAAAACTGGCATGCAAACAAAGATCTCAGTCTTGAGAAAAACACATTTTAGTTGAACTACTTTACTGTTCCAACAGCTGTGCCACTCAACAACAGTAGCATATCTTGTATGACATCACTGCAAGAGGAAGTGAGGGATTTTTTTCTTCCAAATAGACACACACACACTCATATAGACACACACAAGCATTTTGCTTTCTGAACTTTTTTTTTTTTCTTTCTTTCCAATGAACCCTAGATATGTTGGTCTAGAAGAAAGGAAGAGAGTTTAATTCCTGTCAGTTATGTATAAGAATGTCTAAATGCTCTGGAATGGTTTGTTCTGTTTGTCTTAGTATGATGGCAATTCTGTAGTCTTCAAAGTTGCGCTATTGCAAAGCTTAGTTATATATCAGAGAGACATCATGGTACCCAGAAGTACATAGAAGTGCAAACAAAAATAAGGTATCTTAACATCTGCCATCCTTAACACTTGAAATAGAGAAGACACCTAAAACATGCAGATATTAACAATTATTAAATACATTAATGTAATGGTCTTGAAAATGCTGAGATAGCAGGGCCAGTATCCTGGAGCCAGTGGGCAGAGAAGCCAGGCAGATGTTGGATCCAGATCTGCCAAGAACGTCAGTAAATTCTGTAGGAAACTGTCCCTGCGCTGGTTCCCACAGTCCTGTATATCCTGGGACAGAACTTGGGATGTAACTCATGTACATTCAAAAAGAAAGCTGTAAATCTTGCACTACCCCCATAGTTAATTTAATTCCTAGTGTAGTCCTCCTCATGACGTAGAATAAAATATTAGCTTAAATACTACAGGCACATTTTATTGTAATGTAATATTGCACAGGGTTTTTTTTATCTAATTAACTTCGTGTTGCTTTTGTATCTGTCCACCTAAAATTCACTTAGAGAAAAGTGCAGTAAGCACTGAAAAATTCCACGCATACTCAGAAATACACAAACATGCACACACTAACACATGCACACAAATGTGTGCATACATCCCTTTTCCAACGTGAGTTGGTACATGGAGCTTTTTTCCAGCTATGCAACTAAAAAAAAGCTTAGCTGTTCTGTGAAAATTTAAAAGCAGATATTATATATCTGTAAATATATACTTTAAAGTAAACAAACGCAGAGGATGTGTTTTGTTTTACATATTTACAAAAATCTGAAATAATTTGAGGATTTAATGTCATCATATTGGTCTATTTTTCCCTAAAGAAATGATGCATAACATCATAACAGAATATGGACTGGAAGAGTTGTGAGAATGCAAATGGCAATTCCAATTTTCTAGTGTAAAAGTCTGTAAAAATTTAATGAATTGGAGATATTGTGGAGAACCCACTTTTAAATGCATGGGTTGAATCACTGATTATCTAACATCATGAAATACTTATGGGTTCAGAAGAAAGGAAATAAAAGAATACCTTGGTGTAGATGATGGATACTAACTCTACGTAAATTTATGCTCTGATTTATTTTTCCAATGGAGATGAAGCCTGTAGAGCTCATTAGAGATCATTTTCATTAAAATTCTGTGTCGACAAGTAAAAATAATTAGCTAGAACATAAAGCCCAAGCCCCCTCCTACAGTATGGCAGATCGGGTTAGCAGAGTATAGTTTACTACAGGGCTTCTGATGAAAGAATCTTCTGCTACATTTGCTTTCAGGAGCACTCTGATTATTTTTCACGACATTAAGTAGTGGCATCTATTCCATTTTTCACTGTTGAAATGAAAGATTATAGGACAGGAATCCTTTATTGCCTCATCAAATAGGAAGCAAAGTGTTTGCCAAATTGAGGGTGAGGGCATTGCATTTTCTCTTCTTCAGTTCACTGTGTCCAATGACGATCATTAAGGATGAGAGTGATCAGTAAACGTTAATAAAAGGAGATTACTGTTGGCCATCATGATTTGAACTGGGAGGGAGCAGTAGTTTACAGATCTCTCTGATATTCATTTGACAGCTCTAGCACAAAGCATTCATCTATAATTCCTGCAGCCAACAGTTTCATGGTTACTATGCTATATATTCATTTTCATAGGCTTAACTTCTGTCATTCAAGTCTTTCAATTTTACTGATACCGGTAGAATTTCTTCGTAAAGTGAAGAAAAAAACTTTATGCTTTATTTTGTATTTGATATTATATTCTCACATACCCCCTTGTATCATCCATTTGAGGCCCTTTTCTTGAGCATTTGTAAAATCACTATTTAAAAATCAGTAAAAGGTTGTACAGCATTTGGCAATGCTGATACTACAAGTGGATGGAAAGATGCTGGATAATCTGTACAGAATGTATATATGCTCCAGATCTTTGCAGTTCATATCCCTCACGAGAGAAGCAGCATCTAGCTGGCACTGCAGCAGTCATCCAAAAAAAGATCAAAAAGGCAGAGCTGACACTCAGATACTTTGCTCAGTATGCATCTGGGTAGGCTTTTAAATGCAGAAGGAGCTGTACTTCTGAAAGTTAGATGCCCAGGGTTAACAAAGGCTCTAGTATCTTCAAAGAAAGACAGAAAGAAGGAAGGAAAATAGGAAGGAAAAAAAATAAAGGAAAGACTAATGTAAATTCAAACAGGTCATTTTAATAATCAGTGGCAGTGCCTTTTCATCACAGCCTGCTTATGTTAATGGTCCAGATGCTCTTATTCTGCCTTCTGAAGGCTGTTGTGTTTCAGAATGATTTTTGATGGTGCCACTTAATCTTCTCTGTGGATAGAGGAAGGAATACATTTTAGATCTCGATGTGCCAAGATGAAAAAAACAAACTTACAAACCCAGAGATTAATTTTCCTAAAGCTAATGTATTGCTAACTACACTACAGAATCATAAAAACCTTTCAGGGTTTCAGAACAACAGCCAGCCTTGTGTCACTACCCTGCAGACAGGCAGGAAAGAAAGATGAGTGCATATTTCTGGTATCAGTTGTAATCAAAATATTTACATAGTAAAAAGAAAGTGTAGCATGAGAGAGAAAAAAAAAACACCATTGAAATGTTGTCAAAAAGGATGTGGAACAGCTTGGGTCATCTGCCCTGCGTTGTTAACACCCATGCACAGGTGAGGAGACCCCCAACCTAAATATGATATTTTTTCAGAAAAATGTCACACCTTTCTATTCAACAGCCTGTATTTATTTCTTCTTCCTCTCTCCTCCTTTCTTCTCTGTTCTTTCTCCTAATTTCAAATTCATTTTTTGCTTTTTCAAGTAAGTTACCTCCTACAGAAAGTAACAAATGATTTGGGTTAAAAGTTAAAAAATACAGTGCCACTCCACAGCTGACTGCATTTGTACACTCTTCCAGTTTCCTTAAAAGATAAAGTCTTTGCAAACATTTATCTGTGAGTCTAAGCCAGCGGTCCTCATCTCTTGGCTTACACAGAAACATGGAGCCTGCCATACCCTCCAGCACAACACACTGCTTACCAGGGAGCAGGTGCTGCTCAGGGCGTGCTGTGCCACGGGAACAGAGGGCTGGAGATCTCTGGTTTGAATGCTCCCATTAGCACCTGTCTACATTGCCTACAATACATATCTACATACTGTATATGTACATACATATATGTACATATTGTCCATATCTACAAGCAGATATGCAAAATAGATACAGAAAATAAGACTCATGAGGAGCAGGGTGCACTGGAACAGGCTGCCCAGGGAGGTCATGGAGTCTCCTTCTCTGGAGATATTCAAGACCTGCCTGGACTCACACTTGTGCAACCTGGAACCAGGTTTGGCAGGGGAGGTCAGACTGGATGATCTCTGGAGGTCCCTTCCAACCCCTATGATTCTGTGATTCTGTGAACTGGGACTGTTTAGTCTGGAGAAGAGAAGGCTCAAGAGAGACCTTATGGTTCTCTACAACTGCCTGAAAGCTGGCTGCGGAGAGGTGAGGGTCAGCCTCTGCTCCCTAATAACAGTGACAGTACAAGAGGGAATGGTCTCAAGTTGTGACAGGTTGGACATTAGGAAACATTTCTTCTCAGAAAGAGTGGTGAGGCACTGAAACAGGCTGCCATGGGAGGTGGTGAAGTCACCATCCCTGCAAGCTCCTAGTGAGGAAATACTGGTGGTATGTGGACAGCTGACTAGATGATCTTAGGGGTGATTCTACAAATTGGGCTGCTGATCCTGAATACTTCTCTAATAGGCTGCCATAAGAAAACAGAGGATAAATTGCAATTGAAAATTGGTATTTAACCTAATATTCACATATTGATGTGAATTCTGGTAGGAAACATCACTGCATAACATATGAGAACTCCGGAAACCAACCAACTAGCAACAAAAAGCATTTACATGCTGCAGGAAAATTTTTGCTTCAGCACTGGTTCCTCCACTCAGCCATGTTTAAGTATCACTGTCTTAAGCTGAAAAATGCAATCTCTAACATGGATTTCTCTATACTAGCGCACAGTTCAAAAGCCATGAGACATACATTAGATAAAAAAGTTAGAATTGTTCGGCGTCTCAGTGAGAGCAGCAACAAAGGCAGGATGGATAACCTCACCGCCATAGCAAAAACAAATTCAATCTTCCTATCAGGAAAGACCTAGAAAGTTTAGCATAGTGTACCAACTCCAAGCCAAGCCATGTCAGCTCAACTGCAATTAAATTAGTGTTCTCCAACTGCCATTCTCATACCAGTAAGTTTCACAATGTCATCACTGCTTATGGTCTCTCTGTAATCACAAACCATTCATGTGCAATTTGTTCTCATGAATAAAATGACGTTATACATAATTTATTCTTTCACAATGGAAACAAATGTCTAAGTAACATTCACATCCGATAA